ATCTTTGTCCAGCACATCATACAGATGCTTGATTGGATTTGGTCTGTGGAATTTGGAGACAAGTCACCATCACAATCTTGTAGCTGTGCTCCTCAAACCATTCCTCAACCATTTTTACCTTTCACCCGTAAAAGGCCGATGGGGTATTGTCAGCGGCATGCAGCATGGTCATCTTAGTTTGTGAACCTCAAGGTCGGCTTCAGGTTCTCTGAAAACTTTGTGAATGCAACAACTTTCAAACAAGGCAATGGAGGTTTTTGAAATTGATACCATAATTGTATCTGCTAACAGGCTGAGGGGCAGCACTGCGACAGGGCACACTGTCCTGCTGAAAGAGGCCACAGCCATGCACAGTTTCTGCAACAATGCTTGGGTAGTTGGTACATGTCAAAGTAACATCCACGTGGATGGCAGGACCCAGCAGAACACCGTCCAAACCAACACACTGCTTCCACCAGCTGCCTCCCAGATAAGCGCTGTAGGCAGCCAGCCATCCACCATGATGTGAAAGCATGTTCATCAGACCGGGCCGCCTTCTTCCATTGCTCCATGGTCTACTTCTGATGTTCATGTTCCCATTCTTGAACACAGGTCAGCACGGGCACCCTGATGGGTCTCTCGCTATACAGAACCAGCATTAGCTTCTTTAGCAGTCTGAGCTACAGTAGCTCATCTGTTACCCACATGCATCAGTGAGCCTTGGCCGTCCACGACCCTGTCACCGGTTCAACACTGTTCCTTCCTTGGACCACTTTGGATTGACCACTGCAGCCCGGGAACACCCCACGAGAGCTGCATTTTTGGAGATGTTCTGACCCAGTCGTCTAACCATCACACCATCTTTCCTCCTTCTAACATGTCAACTTTGAGGACAAAATGTTAGGTTGAGTCCACCCAGTAACAGGTGCCATGATGAAGAGATAATCAGTGTTATTCACTTCACCTGTCAGTGGTCAGAATGTTTCGTCTGGTTGGTGTATATTTATGGAGAAAGTTTCTCTTTTCCTCAGACTTTAGATTTCTGTAATGGAAACATTTGATTCCCTACTTTGTGACTTTTAGATCAAACTGTATTGTGTTGCACAGTGTCAGAATAACAGTTTATTTCTGCATTGATGGCTGGTCTTGTTTTCCGACCGCAGTGCGGTCAGCTTCCATCAGTCTTCCACGCTGAGAGGAAACTTTTCTTCCTTTGTTCTTCGCAGGATCAGTTCCAGTTCATCTACACAGCTGCCGTCTCTATGTTTGAACAATTCCTGCAGACATCTGCGGAGCAGGTCTACAGCAACCTACAGGTAAAACCTGAATATCTGTTTGTATTACAGTAACAACAAAATGAGTATGCTG